ACTTGACATTGGTAGAAGATACCAACAATGAGGGAAAGAATCGAGGTTTTGCATTCTTGGAATTTGCTCTCGTTCAGAGGCCATGGATGCTTTTAAGCACCTTCAACGAAGAGATGTTCTATTTGGGGTTGATAGGCCTGCAAAGGTTTCTTTTGCAGATTCGTTCATTGACCCTGGTGATGAAATCATGGCACAGGTAACTGGTTATAACGGTTCACTTCTGCTTAGGCTGTATGGATTACCAAGAGCATTTTAACATTCAGGGTGTGTTTGGACACCATTGAGTAATTACAAGGAATTGTAATTATTAGGACAGTAATTACAAAACTCGTGTAAGTACTAGGATATCTAATTCTTTAGTCTTTTTTGGTTGGCAAAGTATAATTACATACAATTTAGTAAGAAACATTAATTAAAAAATGAACAATAAAGTTTGAAAGCTATTATGACGAATTATGTGTTTAATTCACTCAGATCTCACCCTTATTGAGATCTATTGTGTAATTGGGGTATCCCAGTTATACTCTATTTGGTGGGATTCATTAAATACAATGGTTATCCAAAATGCAACATGTGTAATTAGAAGCAATTACACCCAAATTCAGTTACTAGGTGGCTATCTAAACACCCTAAGTGGTGCCTAGGCATTAGGCATGTTGGAAACGTGGAGACCTTTTATCCTATAAGATTGGCTATCTATATTCTAATTTCAGGTTAGGACCATATTTATTGATGCCTACCTCCTTCCTGGGACGAGGATCATGTCAGAGAGCTGCTGAAGAAATATGGGGAAATTGAAAAGATTGAACTTGCCCGAAATATGCCATCTGCTGACAGGAAGGATTATGGTTTTGTTACGTTTGATTCTCATGATGCTGCTGTCACATGTGCTAAGAGTATTAACAATACCGAGTTGGGTGAAGGCAACAATAAGGTTGGTCAAAATTCTTGGTATTGTGTTCACATGAGTTGCATATCATCTTGTTTAATGGTGGTCGCTTTTTTCTTTTTCAGGCTAAAGTCAGAGCAAGGTTGTCAAGACCACATCAGAGAGGCAGAGGTAAGCATCATGGCCGTGATAGTTTCAGGTCTGGGCATGGACCAGGAGTTATGAGGGGTTCATGGAGTAATCCTGCTCCTCGTGGTCCCCATCCTCGCGATAAGAGGAATTAATAGTCGTGCACCGCCACCTAGTTTGAAGAGGTCTGTTGGATTAAGAGATAGACGTCCTATAATGTCTGCAGCAGCTAGAAGCAGGCCTTTGGCTCCACCTCCTCCTAGATCTTATGATAGAAGAGCACTTGGTATGCCTCAATTATTGAATTGTCTGTCTAGATTTAAAAGTTACAACTTCAATATGGTTTTACTTATTGGTTCTTTTTTTTTTTTTTTGTAGTCCCACCATATCCAAAGAGTACTTTGAAGAGGGAATACGGTCGACGTAATGAGCTTCCTCCTCCAAGAAGCCGCGATGTGGTGGATTATGGGTTCTAGGATTGCCCCTGAGAGACGATCATCATATAGAGATGAGTATTCTTCTCGCAGTTCTGGTGGATACGCTGATTATCCTAGAAGCAGTGCCCGTCCTGCTGCAAGGGGACCCTATATGGATGATGATATGCTCAAAGGTTTGAAAGGCCTCCTCCTAGTTTATCATGAGGGACGTGGCAATGATTATGACTCTATGTCTGGTTCAAAGAGAACATATTCGGCTCTGGTTGGTCTTTTCTTTTTCTTATTGTTATTTTATTTTAATTAGCTTGATTCAACCATTTCTAGTTGTTTATGCTGCGTATTTCCTTGTTGAATCAGGACGATGTTCCTCCACGATATGCTGATGCGGGTGCCAGGCATTCAAGGGCTCGTCTAGACTATGAACTTGCTGCTGGAGCTCCTCCGTATGTTGATGCATATGATGATAGGTTTGTTATTACCTCTTGGAAATGTAAGTAGTCCTCTTCTTTATTTGTCTTTCAGGAGTTTCTCTCTCATTTGGATAGGTTTGGGAGATCCAGTCTAGGATATGGTGGTGGCAGGAGTTCAATAGCAGGCAGTCAGGATTCACATGGGCTATATGGCAGTCGTCAGGGAATGAGCTATGGCGAAGGTGAAATTTACATTGCTGTTGATTGTTAAAGGAAGACAAAAATGTCTCTTGTGAATGGTGGTGGTCTAGTTTTGATTTTTGATTTGTGTGTTTAATAATTTACTCTACTTTTGTTTCAGGTTCTTTCAGTGGCAGTGATGCTGTAGGAATGTACTCATCTGGTTATGGTGGTGATTACATGCGGAGGGATCTGATGTATGCCTTATTCCACTTTTTCATTTATAAAATGTGAAAAAGATACACCAGCCTAAAATTATTCTCTTTTTGCTTCCATGGCAGGTTGGTGGTAGTTCTTACTCGACCATGTATTCTAGCCGTGGTATGGGTGGCAGCAGTTACATGGGTGGTGGGGTTCTGGATCATACTACTGATGTAAGTATGTTAAATTTTTTCCCATTTCTCTTTGTGTTGTACTCATGGAAGCGCAATATTCTTTAGGATTAGTGTATCTTTAATGTAGATTAGGGCTTCCTGAAGAAGTTTCTTTCTATGTTCTTGAACGATGTGTTACCAAGGAGATGGATGGCCATATCGTTACTACTGAATTTGTCATTGGAACAGATTTCAAAGACAATGAGGCTGCTGTAGGATGTGGAAAATTTGAAGCTTTTATTTTATACTCATGGTATTGGATAGAAGCATGCCAAATGCTATAGCCTCCATGCAATGAAGGAAAAAGGTTTGGGGCTGAAGTTTCATGTGAGAGGCTCGTGCTCATTCAAGCTGTTTCTTTATCAAAAAGGTTATCGCGCGAGTATTCATGTTATGCTGTAAGGAAAAAAGTACTCTCATTTAGAGATTAAAACAGCTAGTGCTTAGAATATGCTCTGTATGAACAAAATTGTTTGTATTTTAAGAACTCCTCCCAAAGGATAATTTGGAAGCATTTATCAAGTTAGGGGAGAGAATAAAGTTTTTATTTAAGCTTGGTTGGATTTTGGATACTTTTTCACATTGAACTCATTTGGTCAAGTACTGATTAAGATTGAAACAAGGCAATTAACATGCTATTTTGTTGTGTGAAAAGCATGGAGAGTTTTATTGGCCCCTAACTGAATGCTAAAAGAAATCAGTGGAGGATGTTCTTGCTGAAGTATATTGCCATTTCTGAGTTGGTACTTGTGAAGCCCTATACAAGCCTGGAGGAATTAATGGTTATGCTTGACCTTGTCTAAAGCCTGCCTAGTGCTCTAGTTCTAACTTTTGGTTCTACTTTGTTTTTATTTGGGATCTCCAGGCTAAGATGCAATGTGAAGTTGATATTAACAATGGAAAGTGCATGGTATCTTGAATACCGATAACTGATTTGTTTGGTTTAAGTATGCATTGCATTTAACTCCTCTTGGTTGATATTTTTCTAGAGGAATATTTCATATTTATTTGGTTTCTGGTTCTGAAATTGCCTGGTGGAGTATATTAGGCAAGATTTGAACTTTCCTTATGACCAGCAGAAAATCAGAGCACGTATGACCGGGGAATTGCTTTCATATTTCAATACTTGTTATTTCTTTTGTGCCAGGTTATTCGTTGTTATGAAGCTGTTCTTCACATTAAGTTTTATGTGGATCTCAGGGAATATATTAGTTTATTAAAATGAATGCCTTGTTGCTTCATCAAATACTTGTTAGCTATGGGAGGTTGTTGATCCCTTTACAGTTTTTGACCTTTGAGGTTCTTGAGTTGGGTATCTATTTGTGGTTTCTTAAGTTCCTACTTGGTAGGATATCAGTCATTGCTTTAGAAATTGGGTTTAGAAGAGCAATGATATTGGAAAAGTTCAGTCCTAGTTGACTTAGCAATCACCAAAGCTGTGAGTTTGTTGGTTTAAGGAAACATACCGAACCAAACTTGTTAGTTGTTGCTATGTTCACAAATTATTGACTTTTACTAACTGCACTTGTGTGCGACCGACTTGCATTCTCACCCCCTTGTCTCGTTTAGTGTAGTGTAGTGTCGACTGTCGAGAGGAACTTGGCCCCTTTCCGTATCTGGTTTAGTCTTCGTTCTGTATCTGGTTGCCGTAGGTTCAAAATTCTTACTTTTGGAAATTACTGGTTTGTGTCTGCCATTTTGTTTTCTGAAAATTAGTGGTTTGTGTCTGACGTTTTGTTTTCTGATTGCTGCTTTCTCCGTTTTGCTTGATGCGTAAGGGGTGAATTGTTATGTTTAATGAGTCTGTTGGACAATCTTGCGGGCCTTCTATCGTTGGGAGAATTGTTTGCTTAAAATGTTTTATGCTTTATACAAAGACTGCTGTGTGTTGCTGTGTTGTTTTACTCGACAGGTTATTAGCAGGAGCGGTTTAATTTGTTTAGCCGCGTGATATCTGCTATCACTTGATTTCACACAACGTAGGTGCTGTAATTTGGCTCTATAAAACTATCCTGTATTGTTGTCGTTGTAGATTTAATAAAAATATCCCATTTACCCTCGTTTTTAGAAGAACGCATGTATATTGTTACCGGACTAGAATGAATCGGATCAAGCTCTTGAAGGGCAATCGAATTCTGGACACACTTCCCTGATAAAAACAAGCTACAAATTCATCATCATCAAAGCAGGACTATATGAAGATTACAATCACACAGATACAAATTCTTCTACCACTAAGATTGCAAAGTAAGAACCAAAAGCTAAAATTGGTACAGAAACAAAGACAGAGACAAGGAGATGAACAAGAAAAAACATAAGAACTAAGAACTGAACTCCCAAAATATCCGATTTTTCAACCTTATCAGTACTTTGGTGGTGGCATTCTTTTGATCTTTCTCCTGTCTGAAACCCCCTTGGCGAAAGCCTAAAGAATCATCTGTTGTGACCCCGATACCATCTCAGTTTTCTTCACCTTCACATCCATTCTCCTTTGCCACTTCCAATTTTATCCGCTCCATCCTTATGAACCTTTCCCCAATACCTTTATTACCGAAACCATCTCTGCTACCATGTCTCTCTCCTCTTCTCTGATTCCGTCGCTGCTGTTTCTCAAATCATTGAGAACCCTAGCACCATGTATTGACTCGACTCGGATCCTGCTCATCGATATCATAATTGCTATGGTAAGGACTGGCGTTAGAATTGGGTTTTGTCTTGTCCCTGGTTGAGCTATACCAACTCCAGTAGGGATTCTAACCCAGACCCTCACTTCCACCGCTGTTTCGCATTTCATTTTAATTCAATTTGTGCACGCTTTTCATATTAGCACCTTTTTTTTGTATACATAGTGACTCTTGATGGTCATTGTCGTTCTCATCATCGGGGCACTCGAATTGTGATTTCACATTAGGCCCTTTTTCCATAGCGTTCATCCGTTTAAAATGGACCCAAGAAGAAACAAAACTAAAAAGGGGCATCGATATAGTCTGCTGAATCTCTGTCCGGTACTGCTTCCGGAGCTTCTCCATCTTAAGGACAAAGTTTAGCCACCGCATTCGCTACTTGTGCCAATGGGCCGCCTTAAGATTCCCTCGAACAGCGAGGAATTCAAAAAAATCTTTTAAGTGACGTGTATTAATAATACAAAATTTTAACATAGAACGAGTACAACAAATGGACAATATATATAAAGAAATTCTGATTCTAAACTCGTGTCCACCTTGAAAACTATATACATCCGCCACTGTCGACGAAACGTGTACCACTTGTCGCTGTAGGTATCGATTGGAAAAAATCTCATCGTGCGACAACCGCCTTGGGTTTGGCGTCACAGTGACCGCTCTCGATTGTATGAGTGGATAAAGGCAGCACCGGAAGGGAGAGCAGGTGTTCCGTCGGAGGTGGCATGTCATGTTCAGATGGGTTCGACATGTCAAGTCAGAGAGATGGTAGAAACAGGGTTAAAAAAGACGGGAGGCGGTGGAGGCGTATGTTAGTAAAGTGAGGGATGGATAATTGGTTGTGGGGGAGAGGAAAGGAAAAGAAAGTCATGGTGATGAGGCCACCACTAAAGATAATCGATAGGGTAGGTGTGCGGCTGATTTTGAGATGTAGGTGGATTAGACCACCGCTTAGGTGTGCATGAGGCGGGGTTAGTAAACACTAACATGTCATCATTATGACTAACATTAACATGTCATCGTAAGATAATGTCACGTCTGTATTAAAAATATTTAAAGAAATTATCATAAAAATGTTTCCATTAATTTCTTAACGAATGATGATTAAAATAAAATTAAACGTCATGTAGATTTTAAAAAAAAATAATAGTTAGTGACTATAATAGAAAGCAAACAATAGTTGAGTGACTAAATAGAAAGTAAACAATAGTTGAGTGACTAAATAGATAGTTATCCTAAATATGTTGAGGTATACTACGTGAATGAATTTTTAAATAAAAGGGTGTAAAAGGAGAATTTTATAATGAAGAAGATTCGCTCTTTATTTTTACACAAATACAGTGAGGATTCAAATGTTTAGGAATTTCTGGTGCTTTCCAGTTATCAAAAGTAAAGTGATTGTAGAAAAGGAAACAAACGAATTCCTTGCTTGCTCGCAACCAAAATATGGCCTGGCCATGCTTCAAAATTCCATTCCCAGTTCACCGGCCACAATTCACGTTCCCATCAATCCTCGTCATCACGAATTCATCCACATCTATAAACGTACAAACTTGTCTTTGCCAGATCGCCAAGAGGTCAAGTAGTACACATGGAATCTAGATTTTTCGAAGCAGCTCGTGTCGGAGACGTATCCGCTTTCCACTCGTTGCTCGAGCAAGATCCGTTCCTGCTCGATCGAGTCGCCTTGAGCTCCGTCTACACCCTCTGCACGTACCCGCATTATCGGGACAAGTGGAGTTCACCAAGGAAGTATTGATCGGAAAGCCGGGATTCTTTCGGGAGCTAGATGAGAACGGTTTCGGTCCCATGCTGTTGCCCTCAGCAAACGGACACATTAAAATAGTAAGGGAGTTATTGAGGGTTGGATATATGCCTTTTGAAGGGCATATTGGTAAGATTCCGCTTCATTTCGCGGCATTGAAAGGGCGGGTCGATGTTGTATGGAACTGGTGCAGGCTGCCCTGAGTCGATTAAACAAGTGACGCTCGGGGCGAGACCGCGCTCCATTTGGCTGTGAAAAGCAACCAGATTGATGTTGCGAGGGTATTGATCGAGGAGATGAAGAGGCGCAGATGATGGGTTTTGAATTGGGAAGACATGGATGGGAACACCGTTTTACATCATGCAACTTCAACAGACAACACTAGGCAAGTATTGATTCTCTTCTTTTAGACCTATCACATTATTTCATTAGCCGAATCGAGTTAAATTTCTTTATGTCAGTCGAGATTATAATTCGACCTTATTCGAATTTTTTAATCAGTCGAATTGTTCAATATTCTATTTATATTACTTTGATTTCAATTTAAACGGTTTTCTTATAGCTATATATCTTTAAATTTTTCATATAGATAGACATATATTATGTAGAGTTGAGAGATTCGATTCTAACTTAAAAATCAATCTATTAATTACTAAAAAAATTAATTGTTCGAGCCTATTTTATAACTCAAATTTTATTTGAATTTTTTTCAAGTCGAACTTTTTAACATTGAGTTGAAAAGTTCAATTTTTTATAAAATCTATTCGAGTTTTGTTCTCACCTAAACATAAGTTAAGATGCACATATACACAGATACACACATACATGCATGCTTGCATACATATAAGATCTAAACGATGATAATGGTTGGCAAATTATAGGTCTATTAATCGGTGGAGAAGCACCGCTTGCTTGTGGGATTAACATAAACGCCATAAACTCCAGCGGGTTCACACCGAAGGATGTGCTAGATCTCTTGCTCCAGAATGATAATGATTCCCATGATATTCATATATACCGCTTGTTTCAGCAAGTCGGAGCAATGAAAGCCCGAGAATTATCAACCAATCGACCATGCTTATTCCCCAACTCAAACAGCAACCGCAACGCAAACAGTGCGATCTTCGTGTTCATGGAACCTATGGAAGGAGCTAATGAGAGAGGTTTCCGAATCATCCACCGATACCCAGAACGCGCTGATGGTGGTGGCGGTGCTTATAGCCACCTTCACGTACCAAGTCATTCTCAGTTCGCCGAGAGGCTTTTGGAAAGCGGATAAACGTAAAACTTCGCATACCAACACGGTTCAGAAGCGGACCATGATGCCCGGAGAGGCGGTGATGGCGAGTGACCCTGAGATCTTTGCGGTGTTCACGGTGTTCAACGCGATCGGTTTCTTCGCATCGCTGGCGATTATATCTCTGCTGACCAGTGGGTTCCCTCTGAGAGCTTGCTTGAGGTTGGCGATTATTTCGATGGCCGGAACTTATGTGATAGCTGTGATCTATGGGTCCGACAAAGATGAAGGAAGTATATGTGATGGTGATTTTGATGGGGGCTTCTATTCGCGGCGGAGTGGGTACGTTTCAGTATTGGTTGATTAAGAAATGGGGGCTGATTAAAGCACCCGATGGGGTTACACGAATCCATTGAATTTTTTTATAATTATTAATATTCAATCTAGAGTTATTAAAAACAATATAATAACAAATAAATTAATTTTAAAACTAATTTACTCTAATTTTATTAATTAGTTTTCATGCCACTCTAGTCTTGTATGTTAGTTAATTCCATATAATGCTTAAGTTACCATTAATTTGTTCATCAGAAGAAAAAAAAACAAAAAAAGGCCTTAAACAGCAAGTTGTTCCTTGTGATGAGAGGCGGTGGATTCCTCATCATTGAAACACAAATGGACTTTCAATGTCGTCGACCCCACTGAGGGTTCGTCGGTGGAGGCTGCAACACCATCCTCATCTCCCTTTGAAGGTAAGAGTAGTAGGTGTGAAAAGTTTCGGGGGTTACGTTCAAGTGGAATCCTAACCCGAATAGAAAATCCACTACCAGCAAGTTCATTTCTGTGGGGCTGATTCCCCCTACTTTTGCATAGTAAGCATTGTTGTAATTCCTGAAAGATAAGGTTTCCTAAAATATTAGAAACTCAAGTTTGTGTTTCAAATTGAACATTCTGATCGAAGTCAGGTACCTAACCATGAACTTTGCAGGTTTTGTATAATTCGATTCAAGTGAAAGCCTACGGGTATAAATGAACCAATACTTAATCAATAAAATTGTTTTGTTTAAATTTTAATATCACATTTGTGTTTGTTTATTTATTGTTTAAAGGGTTCACGTTCAGTTATTTTAATATTTATAAATATGTTCATTTAAGGTTGGTGAAAACCATTACCTATGATTGGGCAACCAACACTCTCCTTGTACTCTTTTATTTTCAAAAAACTAATCCTTAAGTTTATCGTACGTTAAATTTAGTCCTTATCTTCATTAATATTTAAGACGTACAAATAAAAGGGAAAATGAAAGTATAGTTAATGAGCTTATAAACAAGTTAATAAATGGTTTTATAGAAGAATTTTTTTGTGAACATACACGAATCGAACACATATATGTTCAAGTTCAATCATTTATTAAATGAACATAATAAAAATATTATTTATAATTAGTGGCTGATCAAAAATTATTTTTTATTTTGAGCACATATATATTAATAACATAATAAACAAACATAAATGACCATTATATGAATAACGCTATGCTCTATCATACCTAAGTATAATTGAGAAACTTACATGTCATCCATGAACTTGGCAGAAACCATGACAGTCGTAATAAGCAGCCGATGAACGTTGAAAGAATCGATGGGCAACGAGGGCTGCCTATGACCAAACCGATCGAGATAAACATAAGCAACGATAAAGCAAGATGGGCTACAATTTGCGTTCTTGTAAATCCTGTGGAGGTAGCTCTGGATCGAGATGGTTGGGCGCGTTAGGCCGTGAAAAACCGATATCTACCGGGGCTGAAACCCTGTGTTTACATCCTTGGATTCAGCCACCTTTTGCATGAGAGAAGACAATTATAAAGTTATGAGATTTTGCATCAGTTTTGGGTCCTCTAGCTCTGCCATGGCTGACAAGGTTTTTGGACCAGAAGATCTGATCGGTGTTGTGTCGTTGAGGTATATATTTATAAAAGGGTTAAATACACCATTATACATAAACTATACTAAATTCTTGATTTCATACATATAGTTTAAAAATTCTCAATTGCATACATGAAGTTTTCTACCGTCAACGATTTCATCCACTTCCGTCACTTTTATTTTAGTCACTAAAGTTTAAAAACAAAAACCAATGCCAAGAAAAAAAATGTGGTTTTCTCTTCAACTGTTTCCCCCTCCCCTCATCGTCGTTCGGCCTTCTTTTGGCCGATCGTGGCGTTCAACACACCCTTGGAGCTTTGCCATCGTCCCATGACCTTAACCCGACCATTAGTTACCCCCATCCAATCGTCGTTCATCTAGAAATTGTGAAAAATCATACGGGTCTCACCATCGTCGATCTCGGCCACCGTTGAACGTAACTACCCT